TATGTATATAAATGTATATACTATATAAATTGCTTGATCACTAATTTACACCTACAACTCTTTTTCTAATTCCAGCCCGCACATTGAGCTGTTATTGCGATGGCAGTTGTCCCGATAATGTTATAAATGGCACATGTGAGACACGTCCAGGTGGTTCCTGCTTTAGCGCAGTAGAAGAAGTCTACGATGAGATCACAGGCACATACGAAGAGGAGCGAACATATGGTTGCATGCCGCCAGAAGAGAATGGCGGGCTGTTAATGGTGAGTAGCATAGCACAGATGAACGTTTTTTGATTTCTGCATCACTTCAACTTAACTAATAATTCTCTCTTCACTTTTCTACAGTGCAAAGTTGCCGCTGTTCCCCACCTGCACGGCAAGAATATCGTCTGTTGTGATTCGGGTGATTTCTGCAATCGCAACATACACCCCGAATACACACCGAAGAGCACCACCACCCCGCCTGAATTGCCAGTAAGCTCACAATCCATACATTACCTGCTCATGCTCAMCTCACTGATTGTCTSTCTGACGATATTTGTTGTCGTCCTGCTGATATTCTGTGTAATGTATCGACGTCGCGAGAAACAAGGTAAACAGCCGCGACTCATCAGCTCTATGTGTAATAGTCAAATATCACCGCTATCGCAATTGGTCGGACAGAGTACGGGTTCGGGTTCAGGTCTGCCTTTGCTGGTGCAACGCACCATCGCCAAGCAAATACAAATCGTACGCACTGTGGGTAAAGGACGTTATGGCGAAGTGTTTCTGGCTAAGTGGCGTGATGAACGTGTCGCAGTCAAGATCTTCTTCATGACCGAAGAGTCTTCGTGGTTCCGTGAAACTGAAATCTATCAAACAGTGCTTATCCGACATGAGAATATACTCGGTTTCATTGCGGCCGACATCAAGCACATGGGYAGTCATACACAAATGATGCTYATCACCGATTTCCACGAGAATGGCAGTCTTCATGATTATTTGTGCACATCGGTAATTACACCRCAAAAACTGCAGTTGYTGGCCTACTCACTCGCCTCGGGTTTGGCACATTTGCACGACGAAATCGTCGGTACACCCGGTAAGCCGGCTATAGCGCATCGCGACATCAAAAGCAATAATATACTCGTAAAGCGTAATGGTCAATGTGCCATTGCCGATTTCGGATTGGCCGTTAARTACACCTCGGAAATGGATGAAATACAAATCGCACAAAATTCACGCGTCAGTACGCCACGTTACATGGCTCCGGAAATGCTCAATCAGACATTGAATCAACAACAATTTGAAGAATTCAAACGCGCCGATATGTACTCGGTCGGTTTAGTATTGTGGGAGATGTCCCGCCGTTGTTACACACAAGTGCCCGGCTCGAATACGACCACGTGCGAAGATTATGCATTGCCCTATCACGATGTGGTGCCAGCCGATCCCACATTCGAGGACATGCACGATGTGGTTTGCATTAAGGGCTTCCGACCGCCAGTGCCGTTGCGTTGGCAGGATGACGATGTTTTGGCGACCATGTCGAAGATCATGCAAGAATGCTGGCATCCAAACCCTACGGTGCGTCTGACGGCGTTGCGTGTAAAAAAGACACTCGGACGCCTGGAGTAGGCCTGCCTTTGTTTACTTGATCAATCAGTAGCGTTACGCCGCAGCASCGTGGAAAATACGCGCAAAGCGGACGATCGCAATAGCCATGCTACTAAAGTTGCGTGACAGTTTTACTTTTAAGTGATTTTTTAAGTTTTAACGTTAAGCGTAATTTTAATTGTGCGTAAATATTTTTAATACTAATTCTGTTTAATTAAACTACTTTTAGATTTACTCTCAATACATAATTGTTTATATGAGAAACGCTTTGTAAATTTTCAATAGCATTGTAGTGTTTTCGTTGGCAATAATTTTATCCTAGCATAAGTTTTAGTTTACTTTTTCTTAAGTGAGACTGTGCGAAGTGGAGAGTGGCAGCTTTTTCGTACTGAAATAAGCTCTAAGAGCTGCAAGAATAATATTTTTTTATAAAACAACTTGCGACTTTTTAAAAAAGTTTAGCTAACCGAACCATATTTTTTTTAATTCGAAGAATGTTCATTTTTTTTTTATAAATATCTTAATATAGTTTTATTTCTACACCGCATTAACCCTAAAATTTTGTCAACAAAAATGTCTCATTGAAATTCAATATTGCAATCTATCATTTCCAATATCATTAATTTTGTATGTGCCTCTAAACACTTTGTAATGTTTACTTCACACTGAAAACTTATCGATAACGTCAAATCATAATTTGCTTATTTACTGCGCAGTTTATTAAAAGTACATTAATTTTTTTCTATTTCTGATCTAAATATCTGTTTTTTTTTTTAACTATAAAGCCAAATCTTCATTGTTTTTTTAAGAAACGATTTTTTATGTTTTTTTAATATTACTAAAGGAAAACAATTTCGGTTTGAAGATTGTGAAATGACATTTGAACTACTTTAATTAATGTTGCCAAAATTTGTTACTTTCATGTTTATTGCGTATTGAATTTTGTTTGTTTTTACTATTTTATGCTTAAAACCTATAAAATTGCAAGTATGTTACAGTACTCATATGTATTMAAACGCTTAAATATTAGAAATTTGGCCTTAAAACGGTTGTTATTGCCTTAAAATAGCTTTGTTACAGCAAAAACTATATATTAATTATAAAAAAAAGTAAAATAGTTTTTAGTAAAATTTTTAACTAACTGTCAAAGGAGTCTAAGTTATAAGCGAGAAATGTGCCAGCAATTAATTAGTAAATAATTTAAACAAAGTAATAAATAAAATTAAACGCAAGTTTTGTGCTAAAAACACACAATAGCACACATTTTGAAACAATTGCCTTAAAGTTTTCGAGATTTAAAGAACGTCCGCAAAGTGTCACCTTAACAGTATAAGAAAAATTTAATAAAAAAATRAAATAAATAAAAAGTTGTAATTTAAAGTGCACAAATAATAAAACAAGTAATACAAAAATATAAATCATAATAGCTTAAAAATTTTGGAATGAAACAAAATATAAGAATACAGTTAATAAATTATAACATATTATTGCTCCGTAAACAAAAAATTCAATGAAAAAATATAAAAGACTTAACATTAATTAAACCAACGTCGAATATTGAAAAAATAATTGAGAACAATTTTTAAAAACAGCAAAATATTCAAATACAAAAAATCCGAGCGAAAATGTATAAAAAGCAAAAACATAAAGTATTCAAAATTCTAGCCAGAATTGCCTTTTTAAAATAAACATTTTTCATACGAAGCAAATTATAATAACGAAATAATAAATGAATATAAATTTGAAAGAAATTAAACTAGCCTTCCAAACACAATTGGTTTTATCGACAGCTGATTTTTTTTTTATTTTTTATTTTTTTTTTTGTTAGATTCACGAAAACTTTTTTTTATAACTTATTCATATAATACGACAGTTGCAGAATTTTCATATTTCAATAAATTTCAGAAAATTGTTAATATAACAAAAATATTTGTAAAGCAAAGGYAAAAACACAAATCCAACGGCAAATCTTTTTAAATGAAGCAGAGAACAATCTGGTGAACCTTAGGCACCAAAAGTGAGTTTAAGCTTCGACATAGCCTTTGTCTAGATGAAACGATTTCCAACTACAGTTTTCGTACACAAGCAAGAGTGGGCGCTCTAGCTCACTTGTCATGAATGTTAAACAGACAATTTTTTTTAAACTTCAGCGCAAGCTAGTTTCATTTAATTTATTTCAATGCTGTAAATAGTGTTTTAATTAAATTAATTTAAAGAAAATAAAATAATCTTAAAAATCATAAAAAAAATATATAGCTTGTAGTGGAAACTGTAAAATAAGTTTTCAAAAATTGTTTTAACTGATATTGTTTGTTGYTTTGTTGTACTAAAGACGCTTTGTAACACTTACAGTGCTTTACTGCTGTTGCAAAAAAATATATTAACTACAATGAWTTAAACTAATCCATAATTAACATAAATATTTTATTGTAAAACTTTGTAAATATAGGTTTTCTAGTGGTGTAGTACAAGAAAAATTCGAAAAAAATATTTTACAATGTAAAAAATAAAAAAATTGCAGCTAATAAATTATATAAAAATGGAATACAATGAAAAATAACAAAAAATAAACTATTTGCATATAAGCATACCGTTATAGAGTTTTTCCAAACTTTATTTGTACGTAYGAAAATATTAAAACCATATACAATATTACGTTTAACATAAAAAATATAAGAAATAATTCATAAGTTGATGACATAAAATAATGCCATCATATTTCTGGCTAATTGTACATGTAAAATTAGAAAATTCTTAATTTGTGTCTTTCAGTAGGCATAATAGTAGTTCATAAGCCATATTTACGAATAATATACATAAAAACATTATATTTAATGCTTAATTTATGTAAATCATTTACACATAAATAGTTGCAAAGCAGTAATAATTTACTTGACGTTTGCAAATTCATTAAAAAAACAAAACAAATACAATTATACAATATATTATATAACGACATAAATATGTTAAAATACAATACATTTAGTATTCTGTATTTATTTAAATTTAACGATATAGCTGATAAGTTCAATTATTTCAAAAATAAACGTAACCATACAAAAAAATTAGAAGAAAAAAATGTTGTTTTATTTATTTATTTATTATTTTTTACAGTAATTTTCTTATAACAGGTAAAAAGTTCCCACTTCCTCAATTTTAGATTTATCTTATTAAAAAAACTTGCACAAATGCCACAAAAATTCGAAATTTCTCGCCTTTTGCACCAAAAATATTTTTCATCAAAGCGATAATATCACAAAAATTAGCGCAGTAATGTTACCTTTCATATGACACCTCAATCGTTAAAATCGGTAAACATTTGTAGAAATTATGGCATTTTTTTAATTTAAATATTCTCGCCTTTGGCACAAAAATATTTTTCATTTAACATTTTACGCATGTTATTTACTTCAATTCAATCCGAAAATACTACAGCAATTAGCGCTGTAATATTACCTTTCATATGCCACCTCAATCATTAAAATCGGTGTACATTTGTAGAAGTTATGGCATTTTTAAAATTGCGTGCAAAAAAATTTGTCGGCATTGATAACCTCCTCCCACTGTGAATCAGATTTTTRTGCGACACGCCGCAATGTCACAAAATACCAGGCGACCAGAATCAGTAGCAGGCGGCTGCTAATTTGCCGGAAGCACGCTGTGGCGCAAAAGTGTTGCATACCTTAAGGCGCTACGTGCAGGGTGCACTTCCGCATTTAGTATTTTTGCATGCTAGCACGTATATGCGCATAACTCGCGCAATTTTGCAGCGATTTCAATGAAACAGGTGTCGTTGGAAAGCTGATAAATTGGCCGTTTTATTTTGATGAATAATTATTTATAATATTGTGCTGATATTTTTTAAATTCATGTTAACTGCACACTTTATGTGTTGTGTATTATCTGCTGGAATATTTTGATATAGTGGCTTAAATGTGGTAGTTTAATGCCTGAAAAGTGCTACTTATTTAAATTTTGTTTTTTTGAACAATTTTAGCATCATAAAACCATACAACAACTATGTAAGTTCATTACTACTCCAGGTAGCACTTCCCGTACATATGTATATGCTCACAACTAACGCAATTTTGCAGCGATTTGAATGAAACGGGTGTCGTTGGAAAGCTGATGAATTAGCGGATTTGTTTTGATTAATAGTTATTTATAATATGTTGTTAATATTTTTTAAATTTATGTTATCTGTACCCTTTAAGTGTTGTGTATTATCTGCTGCAATATTTTGATTTAGCGGATTAACAATTGGAAGTTTGCTACTTAAAAATGGTTATTTACTCAAATATTGTTTTCTTTAAAGAATATTAACTTCTTAGTAGGCATTTATTGCTGTAAATTATTACCACTGAGCTGTGCAAGTTCTTAAAGACATTTTGCAGTTTATTTTAACAAAATACAGCAAAAAATATGTACATGTATGTATTTTGTTCAGAAATATTAATTTTTTTTCTTACTATTTTTGATTTTAATTAAAATTTTTCATGCAAAAAACACTTACATATATGAAAATATTTTGCTAGAAAAATTATTTTTTTTTTGTTCTTAATATTTTTAGTTTTAATAGAATTTTTTGATACAAAAACACTTATATGAAAATATTTTCTTTATAAATACATTGTCTTTTAAATATTTTTTGTTTTAGTAAAAAGTTTTGATACAAAAAATACTGATACACAATATTCTGTTGAGAAATTAGCGCAGTAATATTTTTTCGTTTTTAATAGGCACACATGTTTTTATTGAAAATTAGGATTTTTTTTCCATATTAAGTTAATGTATGGAGAAAAAATAATATTTAAATAAAAAAATACAGTTTGTTTGGGACAAAAGAATTATCTTCTACAAAAAATTTTGTGAAAAAAAATATTTTTTTTTGTACAATATAAAAGTAAAAACTCAAAAACTTGGTTATTTGAATATTTCACATAAATTTGGAGCTTATGTGAAAAAAGTCTATATTCAAAAGTAACATAACTTTTCATTAKCAACAACATTGTCATATAACTTTTTTCTATAGGACTCGTAGTTCTGCTTGGAAACCGAGATTAACCATTCCATATCCTTAAAAAATCAAACACGCCCCTTATCTTCCTTTTGCAGAACACAGATGGTCCGTAAACAATTTTTCTTTTAATTTTTATTATTTTAACTTTCGTTTCCGAAGGGTTCATACAACTATGTTTTTCTTTTAATTTTTTTTTATCATTTTCAGATCCTTCTGCTCTACTCTACAATAAGTTAAAATTCTTATATATTTTTCTACGCTGCAAAATATTTCTATATAAAAATTAAAAAATTAAAAATTTCTTTATAAATAATTTTTAGGTATTAGTATCAATTAATATTAATTATAAACAAATGTACTTATGTACAAATGTGCGCATTAATAACTGCAAATCCAATATTCTCCTCACCACACTACATTAAAATTAATTATGCACACCCACCCAGCGGCCCGACCGCCCACCTACCGTTCGTGCATTGCACACAAGCGATGACTTTGGCCTTTCGAAATAAATCGCACACAAACACACAGACACAAGTTTTTGGATCATTTTTATTACATACATACATATGTACATATATGTAAGGTCTATAATAGTTTATATGTATTTATATATACTCGAAATAAATATGCATAAATTTATAATTAATTTCATTTTAATACACACATTTGTAAAATCAATGACTATAACAACAAAAACAACAACAACAAGTTGAACATACAAAACGATCCGTAACAATTTGCACGTGTGTTTTTATTGTTGGTATATTTATTGCAGTTTTCCGCTCCTTCATCTTCATCCTCGTTGCAACACTAAGTGTGCGTGCGTGTGTATATATGTATGCAACATATAAKTATATAGGTAGGTACGCGTGTAGGTGTACATAAGCAGAATTAATCCCCAGTCATCATCTCCATGAATTCTGTAAACGAAAACAAACATTTCAATAATTTCGGCGCAAAATGAAAAACTCAATTGGCACAAGTGGCAGCTAATGTGATTGTTGTTGTTGCTGTTGCATTGTTGAAGTATGTATAGCATGCAGTTTACAGTTAGTGCACTTGTGTGTTGGACCAGTGCTGGTAGTCAATAAATAATTAATTATCTTTTGAAAAATTTCTCAKGCAAATTACTTTATTTATAACCAGCTATTAACGGTATACCATACTTACAGCCGATTTGATGGAATCATTTAATGTGGCAGCGTTGGGTAGTTCCGAATTTAGCTCGTTTTTTATGTGTTTCTTTTGCGATATTTATATGTTTTTATGTGGAATGCTTTGAAAATTCCGCCACACAATTTTGGCTCATTTTATGGCTGATATTAAATTTATTTTCTGTACTTTTTTTTTATGCACTTAACGGTAGTTTTGAAGTAGTATTTTCCAATTTTCGAAACCTAACCTCTGATGGCCGCAGTGCTGTATTGGGTAAAGAAGTTCGCTACTACTACACAGCGCCTTGATTCTACTTGTGTACCGTTTGCGTTTAAAATCTTTAAGTTTTATTAATAGCTGTCGCTCTTCGGCAGGATTCGGCAAATCGTCGAGTATATATCGGCCATAATAAATATTATGGTAAAAGCTAAAATTACTATGAGTCAACAAAGCGTCCCTTTTGCAAAGATCTATTCCGGGGACTTGCGGCCCCTGACAGTCGGTGGCAGGTAGTTGGAGGTGTCTAAAGAGGTGAAATTAATTGAACTCTCATTAGATTCAACCTAGCGGTGGAGTAGGAATGTGGAATACTATYCAAAGCCACCAAGGCACTCACGCCTAGCCGGTAAATCCTGGGGCTACAAGCCAGTTAGCATAAGATGGCTGTATATCATGATGCTAAGGCCTATTGTCAMTTATAGACAACTATCGAAGCTGTAATCATGCTCGAGCTCACACCGCTGCATCTAGTAGCGAAACATATCATGTTGCTAATAGAAATAGGGAAGATAATGACGTCTCAACAAAAAGACACACCACTGGGCCTTGTTCCAAGGACGGCGTCACGAAAGGTTAACTATACAAAGAAGTTTAGAGTTACTCTCGGCAGTATGGCGGAGTGGAACGAATACATTCTCGACATATTTGAAAATACCGGAAGGCATTGTAGCAGGCCTTACGAKACCGCATACCAAACTATCCATACCAATGGGACGTTTTYTGAGCATCTTTCAAGGAGACGTCTTTATTATTAGTCAGTACTTAGAACTCAATCTCCACCGCAACATCGCAACCAGCATATCGCTGTACTTAGCGGTAGTGAAGCGGCGCTAAAAGCGATCTCAGCGTTTGAGGTTAAATCGTTTTTAGTCTAACAAAGGGTAGCCGGCAAGAGTTGGCCGACGAACCTGCCCGCCTTTCAGTAGCGTATAGGACGATGGGGCCAAAACCATGCATTTTAGGGCGTACTTTAATACTTAAAAAAAACTGCTCCGCACGGAGAAGAGAATGGGGGAGAGAACAGCATCTCTTGAGACAAATTCCCCCATCCTAGTCGCGCTCTATACATGGCACTGCAGGATCAGGAAGCAGTTCTGCGACATGGAACAGGAAACACCAGAACACCTGWTTCGGGATTACCCTGTATTTTGCAGAAGCAGGCACAAGGCCCTGGGTTCCATTTACGCGGATAGGGATGACAGGCTCCTGAAATTGTTCAGGATGCAGGACCTTTGTGACTATATGTGATATCGGAGAGGGCACAATAGACCTTAGGTCGCAGTGCAAAGCCTCAATTTTGCTATCTATCTATCTACTATGACTCGGTTTAAGATATGTAAATTTCTTCATTTATCGGGTTGCATGCAACACAGATTAAAGGAAAGGCCCTACTAAAGGATTACTATTATATTTTAAGATATCCTTAAATCAAATTCAGAAGCAAATACCATTTAATTGATGACAACAGTCCGATTAAGGGGGTATTCTAGTCTAAAGGCCCGAATTCGAGCTTTTTTTGGCATTTGAATTTTAGACTAGAATACTCCCTTAAGAAACTATTAAGGCCGTCGGGAACCGTTTCAATGACAAAATATATAAAAGTAAACTTAGGTAGTGAAATAGTTAGAAAGGGTACAAAGAACTTCCTTAAATACTCGGCTTTACGAACTAGCCGATCAATGAGCGTCTTCATAGCTCTAAACTGGATAAAACGATTGAAAACGTAGCTTATAGTTTATTAAAACTATTTTTATAGTTTTATGCTAGCCAACTGCTAAATCATATTCCAAGACGACATAGCAGGAAAAATTCAGGTATCACCAGTCTTTAGAAGCACTGTGTTAAATTAAGGACAATCGGATTACCATGAAAAGGGATATATGCACTTTTCTGGTTAAATTGGCCGACATCACGTTGAAAAGAAAGAGTGGAAAAATGCATCTAAGTCTTAGTTACTACCAGATGAATTATTTTCAGATTATTTAGCAACCGACCATTTATTGGTCTATATTTATTTTTATTCCACCAAATTTCTTTTGAGAGACTTTTGAAAGTATTATGCTGAAGATCATTTGAAAACTAATCCTTCGAATATTTCCGAAAAAGTTATATGAGTCCATATTTTTCACCGACAAAACTATGAGTAAAATAGACTCTATCATAAAAAATTGTATGGAAACTACTTTCTATAATATGGAAATAAAATTGAAGCTCGTTGTGATTCAATAGAATTCAAACTAATTAAATTTTCGACTATAAAGGACACTACTTTAACTAAATATTTAAATAATTATTACCGTATTGTTAGTTAAGCCACCACCTTAATTGATCATAGAAATATATTACTTAAAATCATTAAGAACTCACCATCGAAATCAACAGTTCCCGAACCGTCAGTATCGATTTCCGCAATAATACCATCCAAATCACTTGAGGAGAGTTTATCATCCAAAGCCGAGAGAATTTCCTTCAATGTGGATGTGGTAATATAACCGTTACCTTCACGATCGTACAAACGGAAAGCTTCTTTCAGTTCCTTTTGTATAGCCTCGGTATCCTCCTCTTCGAGGAAATGTGCGGCAATATTACAGAAACCATCGAAATTCACTTTGCCGGTATCTTCGGGATCATTCTCATCGACGAGATCTTGTAATTCGCTCTCATCGAACATTTGACCCATACTGTTCAGGATGGTCTTGAGGCGGAGTGTTTCAATGAAACCGGTCTTTTGGGTGTCGAACATTTGGAATGCTTTGCGCATGATGTCCATTTTCTCATCATCCTCCTACAAATGTTTAAAGTAGACGAATAAGAAGAAAAATGAGTGATGCTTAAAAAAATTACTAGCTACAAAACACTATAAAATATTTTGTGAGTTAAGGAAGTAAAAATGTGAGGTTACTAGTTGGTCCGCTTTTTCATTAAGGCTACATTACAAAGTTTTCATCTGCAACTTACTGTATTTTAGGAAACTAAAGTAATAAGGAACCCCATTTCAGTTTGCAGTGTCAAATAAGCAAYGAACTATGGTACTCTTAGAAAATATAATCCCTATGTCAAAAATAAACAATTACTTAAAGGATCTTAACTTTTTATTTTTGCTACTAGTTGATCCTATTTTCCTTTACTACCATTGACATAAGTTATCGATATATGTATTTTTAGTTTGGRTTTGTTCTTATTAAGAAATCAACAATGTCCTTGGATATCGTTTTGCCTGGTTTTTCGTGATCAAAAGTTAGTTAAAATGCTATAATTTGTTTAAAAACCTTCTCAGTTCAGTTCAGTTAAACTTAGAATTCGATACTCTTCGGTTCTGTCCACGCAATCTTTGCTTTTTCCGTAATACTGAAAAGGATCAGTGTTGAAAGTCAAAACATTAAAGTGGAGCTTACTAGTGAGGGCAATCATTCCACTTTTATCATATTAGTAGGTCGGATGATCATCCTCATGTGGTCTAGCTCGAAAAGCGTTAGTCATCAATCAGATCTTGTGCGGTTGTGAAATTCTAAGAAGTCCTCTAAACTACTTAAAGCTAACAAATTTCATTTGGCGYAATTGTGGGTGTTCTGACTGTACTCGGATCCTTTTTGTCAAAGCCGTATGGTAGAAAGCGAAGTASAGACATCTAGCCAATTTTATCTTCMAGATTTCGGTAGACTGAGGTTGAAATATCTGCTAAACTAGCGAGGTAGTTGGGATTGTTATTAACCACTTCAACGAATTTGTGGTAAACTCAAAACGATCTCGATCTATGAGAATATGGTGGTCCAGTTTAAGAAGTTTTTTGGGTATCCAAGTGAGATCGATCCAGTGCTACCTTTCTCGATAGGTTTAAATCTAAATTCTAAACTAAGCTATGTCGTTTTAAGTAGAAGTTTTTGCGACTTTAAAAGTCGRTTGGTATAGTCAGTATCAACCATAACATCTCCAAAAAGATGAAGCGTGCAAAAAAAAAATCAATCTGATGGCTTGGAGCGACTCAGATTTGTCGAATAACATGATATATAATTTGGGAGAAAATGTCGCGAACACTTTTTAAAGAAAATGCAATTTGATTATTAATATTTTCAGARTTTCCCATATTTTTTACAGTTTAAAATGATATCTTTGAAAGAGAAACGGGGACTAACTCAGATTTTCAGGGTTGCAAAAAACGAAAGAAATGGTAAAAAAATTTTGTGATGAAAAACGAAATTCTACAAATTTTTGTTGTATAAACTAGATGCTTTAATGTTTTAAACAMATTTTTTATTGGACTTTACAGAACTTCTCGACTAGTTTGAGATTTTTTTGTGAGTACGTCTTTTGAATTATTTTTCTATAAAACAAATAAAAAAATTGAAATGAAGTCCGGATATTGT